AAACACACTGATCTCCTAGATTTTTAGTTCAATTCATTCAAGGCCTACTAGTAGTTAAAGTGAAACATACAGTAAATATCAGAACCCCAAAAGAGGAAATATTACATGTATTTTAGTTTTTGGCTAAACCAATGAAAATCATTAAAAGAGGCTGTATTTGAACACATAAACTTCTGTAGTTCTTATTCTGCACCTCTTAGCTCCGGGTTTTTTTCTGTATATATGCACATGTGTATATATGTATATATATCTAAAAAATGTCATCATGAGCCTAAAAGAAAAAATATACCCTTATTCTTCCTGCGTGGTTTTGAAAGGCGGTTTTTACCGCTTTCTCCATCCCGATAGATATAAAGCACTGGCTAAACACAACAAATGTGTTCTGAAGCCTTTCCCAAATTCCTGTTCATGGTTGGAAAAGAAATGATTGCTGCAGTTTACTGTGAGTTTGCCATGAAAAATTTCTGAAGCTACAGGAATGAATTTTGCATAATTCTTTACTTTATTGAGGTGTAAGCAGGTATTTTGTCACTATTATTCCAGATTTGTCCTGAGTGTTACACTGCATATTCCCAGGAGGCACTCTGGGACAGATTGTGATATAGAAGTGGTAAATATGTACAAGCCATAGTCATTTTTTAAAATGTAAATACAGAGAGACAGTCCATTTGTAGCGTGGAGTGTGTTTGTCTGTATGTGTACACACAACTTCTGTCTACTCTGGCTTGGCACAAAAAGCTGGGTAAAGCTCATGGGATTTTGTTCAAGGCTTCAGGCAGCAGGAAGGGGTTTGGTATCAACCTTCATCTATTCTGCAGTCCCACAGTTTCTTTTCAACTGCAGCTTCTATCACTTTTTTTTTTTTTCAGTTCAGCCATTCTCCTACAATCGGGAGTAACTCTGTTTTACCATTTGACGTAATTAATTTTACTTCCATTTGTTGTACTTTGGATTATTCACTCACCCCCCTGCTGCAGTGGCTGGTAATTTTGACTCTCATGCAGTGAACAGCACAATGACCATAATAACAGTGTTATACAACACTTTTTACCCACATGCATAAAACCTCTGACAAAAGTCATTAAATTTCATTGTTGCCATCTTTCTTGATGGAAAGCACAAAAAATTTAAGGCAACTCTCATCTGACAGAAAATTAGCTACATACAGAGAGAGACAGTCTGTGACTTTGCCAAAATGCTTTTGAGTGTCTGTATTTTGCTGCCAACAGTTTGTGCCCATCTAGGCTGTTCAGTGACACACAGAAACTGTGGTTTGCTTTTTCATCCCAGCACAGAAGATGAAATCCCACCTATGGACCATGATTCCTGGTTAAATATGAGCGTTTGACCCATGTTTCCTGTGAGGAATGACAGCATCTCAGGTTCCATGAGATGGAACCAGCGTTGGAGGCTGAAGTGATAGGCACAGCCATTCTGCAGAAGTTTCCTTCCAGGATTTCATACACAGTGTTTTTATCCTGATCAGAGCCAGAAGCTAACACTGATCTAAAAGTAATATCATTGCAATAGTCTTCTATACGCTTTTCTCTGTGAATTTGTCCAGTGAAAACTTCTATCATCCACAAAATATCTGGAGGCAAAAATCCTGCAGTTTGATTACATGCTGGGTAAAGAAATACCGCCTTTTGTTCTGACCTGCTGGATTCATCTAATTCCCTTCATCACTCTCCAATCTCATCTACCAGCCAGTAGATTAAATATATGACTGATTTTAAGGGCATAGATTAATTCAAGGTACAAAAATCAGAGTTTTTCACAAGGATTTTGGGTTTTGCTTACCCAGGTTTTTAGTACTGTTTCATTCTTTCTGGAGCCAATTTTGGACTGAGATGCAGGCTTTCCACTGGAAATGTAACTACTAAAGCTTAAAAGTAGTGAAGTCCAAAAATTCGTTTCATGCAGTTATCTGCACTTCTAAATATATGGTAATTGCTATTCTTCATGTATGAAATGAGCGAAAATAGAACAAATTAGAGAAATGTTACCTTCTGCAGACAGAGTATTTAGGACAAGGTTGTTTTAAAGGTGTAACATTGTTAACAGAATTGGTTTTTTGATCCTTGTTTGCATATTGGCACAGTCACAGGGCACATTTCCTATCTTTTGTATATTTATTTGAAACAGAATTAGAATAAACTATTTTTCTTTTTTACAAATTACTGGCTTTATAGGCTGTGTAAGTGTTTTTCAAATGCACGCGCCATGCTTAGTTAAAAGTAATTGCATTTTGAGATAGGATATATATGATGCCCTTCCTATCAAGGTATAGTCATGCATTACAAGCTGCAATTCTACAAGTTTCCAGAGTGACATTTTATTATTGCAGATCATTTTAGGAAACTTCCTGAGAAAGTAAAATATCTCCTTATATAAGTACCTTTTCAGCTAGAAGCATAACGGAGTGCCTTGGGACAGTAAAGACTAAAAGGATTAGACATTAGGAGGGCTTTCATACCACCTTTATCCTCAAAGACATCCTGACAGTTTGCCTGGGCAGTAATTCTGGGCAACATTACTCTGATCTGTTGGTGGCTGTGGTTCCTGCAGTGCCAGGGCTGACAGCAGGCGATGCCTACTAACCTCACACCATGGGTATGAATATTTACTGTCGCTTTTCCTTCTGCTAATTTTTAGGTAAAAATGCTATTGCCCAGTTCACATCAATAGCAGAAGTTGTCCCAGGTGGAATCAGCCATGGGAAGTGTTTGGGTTGCTCAAAGGAAGAAGTAAGAGAAGCTATTCATCATTCAGTAATGCTGAAAAGGTGGTTGCTGTAGAAACCTCTTCCAGGTTTAGCAAATGTCAGGAATCAGATTGTACCCACTGCAGCACCATAGATCAGATTGGAGATGCTCCCACGCACAGGGAGCCTGGAGGCCTGGCATCCCTTTCTGGAGACACCGGAGAATTCCTGGGCATCTGCCTGATGGCCGGAGCAGCCATCGCCATCGCCATCCCCCTCTACAGAGGCTGCTGCACAGTCGTGATAGCCCCAAACATATTCACAGGGACCGCTTCATCCATCAGGAAACACTCCCTGGTACTTTTCTCCAGACCTTGTGCTCATAGCTCAGCTCAGCCTATATCAGAAAGCTGGCTCTAGCAACTCAGAGGGAGAAGTAGTGAGGGATAAAGCGTGACTAGATGTGTTTTATCTTGGGCTGGCAGCAAAAGCCTGCGGCTGTACAGGGAGCACGGGTACCGCTTGAAGGAGATCATACTTGTTCTTCACTGGAGCATTCACTAAAGCATCATTAAAGACCCAGCAAACCAGAGGTGTGCTTAGCTGGAGCGCTGAGCTCAGTTGCAGGTTGATGGCAATGATGGCCTAAGCTATTGCAAAGTGTGAACAAGAGCACGAGGCACAGAATTTGATTGTAGCTTCATAAAGGGGCTGAGTCATAATTTAACCAAGTTCAATTCATTTGTACAGCAGAGGTGCCTTTTAAAATAAAGACGCTCCAGCTACAAAGTGCTTTACTTAGTTCCCTTTGATAAGGACCTCTTAAATGCTTGCTGCTTTGAATTTCAGTCCACTTACAGTCCGTCTAGTAGGGGTTGTGCAAACTTGTTGAAATAAATGGTTTATCTCCCCAGAGCTGAGGTCTTGTTGTGTGGATTTTGTGAGTTACTTAGCACTGCTTCTGTGGGTTTCCCACTGGTAAAATGAGCTAATGTGTCCATCTCATTCTGACATGCTCTTTGTGAAGGTTCCCTGGGACAATTTGTAATAATTTGCTCTGGTTCAGTTCATCTCAGGCTTCTGCATGTAAGGTATCCTGGGTTGCTCATGGCTGGGTAATTTGTTTCAAAATACGCTTTCTGAGACTAATGTTTCTCACTTTCCATTTGAGATTAGTAGGATGGAGCTGCATCGTTCTTAATATAACATTGATTCTGCAGAGTGACGTTTCTGATTCTTGGAGTAACTTCAAGATTGCTTTAGATATCCTGTTCTGAATGAAGACACAAGAATATCTCATTATTCAACTATTATGAAGTGCTTCATGTTTTCAGCTGCTATAGACACTGTTGATTTATTTTGATAAGTGTGTTAGAAGCCTAGAGCTTGGCAGGACATGTTATTGATCTCACACAATCCATTCTAGGCATTAACATGGGAGTATCATTCCCAAATCAATTTTCTCTGAGCTTTAATTTAAATACCAGTGCCCCCTGAGGGTCTTTCTGGGTCACTTTTATTCTCAAGCTGTACTTCAGCATTGAGTAAACTGAGTAATAAATGCAGGTGCCCAAATTAGCTGCATGCCAGCTGCTGTCAGATGTAGCTATCTAGTCTGTTCAGTTTGCCAGCATACTTGTTTCTGTAAAGAATACTGCTCAGCTCTGCCTACCTTCAAAACAGTTTTCAAATTTCAGCCACACAATCCCAGCTGCTCTGTAAAGAGGCAAGTATTCCTCTGTTATTAAGGCATGCTGCCTGGAGAGAATATTTAAGGTGAAGTAGTGTCATTTAGCTAGTTGTTAGACTGTGGAGAAAAACTGTCTGCTACTCAGGCAGAAACTGCGAGGTACATAACAAGAGAGCTTTGGAAATGATCTGAGTGAAGTTAATGCCACATAGCGCTATGCAATCCATGAAAAGAATGTGATGAGGCAATTATAAATCAATGTAATATTTGATTTTGTAAAGATATTGGGGAAAGGTTAAGAGAGAGGGACAGAACTAGAATGGTCACTTGGAAGCACTGCCAAATTAATGTCCCTTTGCCTTTAGCTACTGGGCATCTAAAACAGATGTGTGGGAACTGGCTACGGGTTTATGGAGTGTCCGGAGCCAGGGACTGCCCAGAGAGAGGCCCTGCGAAAGGTTTCTTTGTCCAATCCTCATGCACGTGTGCCCCTTACTGGTATCGTGGAGTTAAAATATCCCAACGGTTTCTCAGAAATGATGGCCTAGCTTCCCAAATTATTTCCTTTTCTTTTTTCCTTTCATTTCTTTTCTCTCTATGTTTCAGATTATGCTTGGCCTTTGCCTAAACAGTTGTGCCCTATATGGATTTCCCTAGATGTGCTCTTTTCAACTGCATCTATTATGCATCTCTGTGCCATCTCTCTTGATCGGTATGTAGCAATACGCAATCCCATTGAGCACAGCCGCTTCAATTCCCGCACCAAGGCTATTATGAAAATTGCTGCAGTTTGGACCATATCCATAGGTAAGCAATGCGGCTCACGATCTTAACTGTGTCTTAATGAATGATAGTGTTACTCCAATTTTCATTTAGGATTTTTAAGAGGATACTCAAATTAATTTACCTGGCCTGCATACCTGAATATAATAAATGATTACTGGGAAACAGAAGTCTTTCATTGCAGTTGGTCAGTGACGAAAATAAGCAGTCATTTTTCAGAATACCACTACTTTCAATGCCGAAGCATTGCTGCTGTGTACATATCAATATGCCAATAATGACGGTAACACAGACAAATGGCACTATAAAACTGCTGTGTAAACAAAGCAGAAAATAGCATTAGCAAAGACTCTGGAAGGAAAAACCAGCCAGTACAAATGACATGTCTACGCTGCAGTTGCTGCAGTTAAACTTGCTCAAATTCTGGTAGTGGTTTAAGTGAAGCAGTGCAGAATTGAAGGCAGGCTAACAGCGAGGTATTTACTGCTCTTGTGGAGGCTTTATAGCCTATATTGTACTCTGCCACAGCCGGATTGATGCTAGTAGTGAGCTAGCAGGTTTGAAGTCATAGTAAATGAGGAGTAGACATAAAAGAAGACACCTTTGTATCACTTTGATATAAAGTAATAAATAAAGCAGCAGTAAAATAAGGAAGAAAAGGCAAAATGATAGCAAGATGCCTCTGTAATATCAGGAATTATGTGAAGAAAAACATTTTGGGGGGAATTATTTCAATATGCTTTATAAAAGAGACGTTTGGGGCAGGGTCAGAAGAATTGTATGACCACTTCTCTCTGCTGTATTGACTGTTTTGCTTGAATGAAACAGTCTTAGAAAGATTTAACATTTGGCTTTTCTTTTATAAAGCTGTTGTCACTTTCAGCTTCGTACTGCAAGGAAAAGCATGTTTCAGGTTCTTGAACTTCTCTTGGATTTTGCCTGCTTTAGAAGCAGAATATGATAGTGGATGACTGAGTGCTGCAGGAGCCACTTTTGAAGAAGCTTGCCATGCAAAAAAGCTATGGAAAAAAAGCAAAAAAAATAGGGGAAATATACCTTCTCTCCTCATTAATATAACAGGAATATCCATTAGAAACAAACTTTCGTGTGCGACAGGCCTGCTACGGTTCCTCTAGGTAATACAATCCACGATGAAACTGGATTGGGTTTAATGAATTAATGTAAGGGTTTTTTTAATTATTATTTTAAACTCTCTGTGCTGCCTGTTTGGCATAGGAAAGAAAGCTGCTGAATTCAGTGTGTAAGCAATCACGTGCAAACCACCTCACGTGCAGGATGCTTGGGCTCGATTTGCACGGCCAGTTGAGAGTTGGTGCAGAATCCATGCCCCGTGATGCACTGTAAAGCAGAGGTATCCCACCCTAGCAGAGGTGTATAAATCTGTCAGCAGCATTAAGCAGCACATTGCAAAATCTGCACAATAAGACTGTTCTGCTTCCATTTCTGGACCTAACTTGTAGATTTTTGCCTGTGCTGCTTTATATGCTGCAGACACATCCTTAGAAATTTTGGCTAGCACTGAATGTGGCTGCCTGCACAAACACCTTGAGGGCTAAGTTGTAGTTTGGATGATGGGTCCAAGGAATAAAGTAAGGCAACGAGTACTTCATGCATGGTTCACTGAGTGAGCAGACTAGTAAGCAAATCTGGGGCCTGACCAAATAGATGTAAAGACAAAGATAGATCTACCTCTTCCTGGAGTTACTGGGTGAGGAATGGGCTCAGGATGATGGAAAATAGGAACATTATGGTCTCTACTGTCCCCCAAGGACAAAAGTACCTGAGCAAGGTGACTTTGTGCTGCTGTCGAGTGCAAACACCTTACCCCTGCCCAGGTTTCTCGGGTGATGTTTAATAAGTCTGCATTTATAATAAGATGTGAAACAGGTGAAATAATGATCACTAAAAGAAATAGCTTGGAAAGGCAATGGAATAGCACTTTTCTTTTGCAGGCACATGGCTTGTCAGCCCTCAATACGGCAATGGATGCTACATTTATTCCCTGACATTGAAAAGTCTTTAGGAAGAAGCTGTGAGCAGTTGCTCAGCAGGATGTCTGCAGCGCACTGTGTTTTGGGGGACTGCCCCAGGTAGTGCTTCCCTCCCCAGGCTGGGAAGGGAGATGTGTTACAGCTGTACCTGCATGCCCTCCTTTGCTGGGATCATAGTTGAGAGGGTGTACAGCATGTCCGGGCTTTGTTTATGTTTTGTTCATTCTCTTTGATGCAGACACAGCCATCCCAGGGGAGTCTTTGCTTGCATCTCTTTTCTTGAAGATACAGGCAGAATCAATACTTCACAGAGAGTTTGTTCAACAGGGCACTGAAATGCTGTTGGATTTCCACCTTCCCCAGTGCATGTGATAGGGCTTACCCATTTACTTGGGCTTTCTCCAAAAGTTGCATTAAATGGAGAAAGAAAAGTACTCTTCGTATATCTCTAGATTATTTTAGCATAACTATTTTTACTTCACAAATGAATTTAGAAATGTGACAGACACGGGAATAAACTGAACATGGAATGAAAGAGAACTCGCCCAAAGTGTATTGCTGCTGTCTTCCAGTTCTTACCTACTTGTCACTTGGAAAGCCCTGGTGAAATCCCACGCAATTTTCAAGAGAATGAAATAGGTTAAGTAAATTCATCCTTCCTTCAGTTTTAAGTATCACAAAAAAAATTGTGCATTTCTGTATGTGATTAAGTATCGAATTCAAAGCAGCACTTAAGTGCAGGCTGGTCAGTTTGCATTTCCAAAATCCTGCTTCAGCTGGACTAAAGAAACTTCTAAATGCATCCCATGAAAAGATTCCTGAATTCAGTTCCTGAATTGGAATTTAAAATAGGAAGTAAAAAACATGTAATTTATCTTAATTTACTAGCCTTTGCATTCCATTTTCCTGAAATGTTAATGCTGACAGCAAAATGTGTAATAGAGGTTCTTTGCTCATTGAGCTATGAATTTGGCAGGTTGCACAAGCCTAAACCTATGATTAGGTTTTTAAGCAGGCGAACATAAGAGAGTCCTCCTGTCTGTTGACAATTGCTTTATGAATGGGTCTTTTCCAAAGTTCTCTTTGTTCCAGATTAAAGTACAAGACAGTCAGTTGTCCTGTGTTTTAGCCGATGTAACCTGAGCAAGTCTTTTCATGTTTAGTTAGAAAAAAAGTGGGTGCTGTGAAGTGCTGGGCTTGTAAAAATGAGTTTTGTGATAGATGGCACTGTGCTGAGGCTGGAAATAGAAATGTGGACAAGAAATATCCACACAACTGAAAATGAAAATAAATTATAGATGTGAGCTTGCTGGCAGAATCTTGATGTTGTTTCATGACTTCAGACTTTGCACGGTTGCAAGTGCAAAGGTTTTCACTGGTAAGATGTGGACTAAACCATCTCACCAGATTCAGATTCCCTGTATCCTGCTCTGAAGTATGAAAGACGTGTGTTGCAAGGATCAGTAAATGCTCATCTCAGATTGAGTGATCTTATGTCTAACAGCTTTTTGTTTCTGCCCAGAGTGTTCCTCTCTCACACAGGCTGAGCAGCCCTATGCATGCAAACTGTCCTAATGATGTCCTTAAAGAGCCTCCAAGTATTAGTTAAGCCTTCCCCTATCTCACTGGGGATAATCCCAGTGGGAAATGATACTCAGTTTGAGGAACGTGCTTGGAGTGGCACCACTGATATTAAACGGAATTAAGCCTCCTTATAGGCTAAGAGCAGGCTGTGCACGGAGCTAAAGGGGGACTGGAGTAATTCATGTAGCCTCCCTCAGGACATGGTTTTAGAGCACGTTTAGGGTTTTGGTTTGCATTTCTGCCCATAGGGGTGTCTCTGGGATCAGTGACTTTCTCAGCAAGGCATTTGTTTGTTCCCATGGCATGCTTCCTGATGAGATGCGTTTGCTCCTGAGCATCCTCTGTTCCGTGCTGGGCAGTAGTTGCTCCTGAGAGATTGTGCTTTGGGATAGGAGCACACACCCATGAATTTCTTTGCAGGCTTCAGGCCCTGGTTAGCAAACATATCTTTGGACATGTTTCATGGGAAAAAAAATCACAAAATACTTCTAATGGAGAAGACAACAAATAGAAGGTCAAAATGTATTACCAGGATTTTGCTCAAACCTTTCCCACCAAGCAGGCTGGTCCTGTTTGTGTCTCATCACTTGGAGACAAGGAAGAAGTGTTAAGACAACTGTCACTGGCAAAGCAAAGGTTAGACAGGCACCCTTCACCTCCTGGAAAAGTGTACAAATTCCTGACTACAAGCACTGCTTTGGTAGAAGGACAGTAATGCTATTGCTGATAAAAATGACTGCATGTTAATAAAACCTAAGAGAGGGTAGCATTAGTTTCTCTCCAGTGTTGGGAGAAAATTGTATTAATGTATTTTTGCCTTTTTATGTTTGACATTAAATGTCTGACAGTGTATGTTTGACTGAGATTCTTCCCTCATGAGCATGAGGGTTGTAGTTGGTGATTTCTGTAGGCAGAGGTGTTGCAGTGGTGGTGATGCTGATAGTTTTTGTTAGCCTCAAGTGAGTGCAGAGGTAGAGTTAGCATTGCAAGCCAGGCTACTACTTGCTTCTGGTGGAGCAGTAGAGCAGGTTTGTGCTCATAAAACTTTTTCAAGCCTATCTTCTGGTCATGAGTGGAACAGAAACCCTTGCTTTATAGCCTAGAGCATGACACTAAGGCTTTGTCTGTGTCTGTTTCCCATTCGTTTGAATTGACTACAAGGTTATTTTCTGTAAAGACGTTCTTTTGCCTGAGTGTTTGGACCGTGATTCCCAAGAGGGGCATTGATCTCCCTAGCACATGAGCAAGAGTTGTCAGGGCGAGGAAGATCATAGCAGCTGATAACAAGCTGAGTTCGTAGCAAGGGACCTACCTTGGGATTTCAGGCCGGGGTGCCTGGATTGGTTTGATTTTGTCATTAGATGTCAGTGAAATGTTTTGGCTGGGACAGCAGCGGATGGTGATAGTCTCTGAAGTGTTTTGCACAGA